GATCCCGGCATGGTCTCAGCTTCTGCTGCTTTTATGGTGTGGACGCACACGGGGAGTCACCGCATTTATAGCCTGATGCTTTTATCGTTTCCTCGCTTGGGCCGGAGGAGATTCTCGCTCCGGCTTGGGAAATCCAGATGTTCAGCTTTAATTCTCCCCCTCCTCTTTTCAATCTCGGAAAGAGTAACACAAGCTGGATCCTTCCCAGTTTCCCAGGGAAGAGTCCCACGCAGACCCCGAACAGCATGTGAACGTCCTCACAGAATCTAAGATCCTGTGGGAAAAATGGGAAAGTCTGTCTGGGAGCATATAATGCTGCTTAATGGCACAATTAGCGCAATTTCAGCCTCAGGATCCAAAATAAACAAGTTAGGGCCTATTTGTCTAATTATGAATAGCAGGGCATGTTGTTTTAGCTGTCCTTGCAAAGCTGAAACAAGCATCACTGTTGGTTTTTCAAAAGCCCTAACACTAAGTATTAAACTTTGCATGCAACTCAACACTGTTTGTGCTACAAACATGAATGATAGGCTACCTAAAATCAGCAACGAATCATAACACCCTAGCAACTGAAGAGCGACACGAGCTTGTTTTGGGGTTTGTCTTAACCGTATGTCTGCTGTTTCTGAACTATATGTATTTTGTTCTACCACAGGGGTCAAGGTGAAATAAAGTAGAGAAGAAAGGAAAATCAGTCTGCCCGATAAAGCCAATATGAACCCCATACGGAAAGACATGGAGCTGCTGAGTAACAGCATGGCTACTTATGCCCATATAACAGGTAAGAGCATTCAACACTAACCACTCATTACTGTGCAGCTTAAGATATCAAGCGGTGAAAGGCAGCTGGCTAAACACTTCTATAGATTTGGGCCCCGTCACACTTCTAACCCCAAGAAGAAAATAACAACCCATTCCATGGACTTGAGTGTTCTGTTTGATTTGGCTTCACACGTCTGACTTCATGAGAAATGGATTAAATGTTCCTAAAGACGTTTCTCTTTTTCTTTGGGGTTTAAAATTTTTCTTCAGTGTCAAGTCAGTCTAGGAAGAAAATATCAAAATCTACACTCTAAAAAATGCTGGCTTAAATATAACTCAGCGCTGGGTTAAAAAGGGACAAACCCAGCTATTGGGTTGTTTTGAACCCAACCGCTGGGTCAAAACAACCCAATAGCTGGGTCAAAACAACCCAATAGCTGGGTTTGTCCCTTTTTAACCCAGCGCTGAGTTATATTTAAGCCAGCATTTTTTAGAGTGTAGATTTTGATATTTTCTTCTGTCCCTTTTTAACCCAGCGCTGGGTTATATTTAAGCCAGCATTTTTAAGAGTGTACTCAAAATTAAAACTAAAATTACTAGAAATCAGCATAATAGAATGATCTGTGTAGGATCATTAGAACAGATATGTTAAATTAAAATAATAATACACAATATTACTGTTTTTCCTAATTTTTTATCAAAGCCTTGGTGAGCATAAAAGGTCTTTCTAACTCTGAGCTTTTGAATGGTAGTGTATAGCTATAATAAATTTACTATCTACAAATGCCGAGTTCTGTCATGAAGCAGATGGCGCATGCTGATAGGTTGTTAATGAAAACCGATGATATTCACAGCATTAAACTACTTGGCACAAGCTGATTGGTTCATGTTGCATATGCAGCCAATGAGCTTGCTGCTTTACATTTAAATCTCTGCTTGGCATCCACTAGAGCATTTCAAAGCGTGCTTTCTGAGTTACTCTGAAACCCTCCACCTCCCCAGCTCCACCTGTACAGATCTGCTACGGGTTTAACCCTTTACTATTAAAAAATACCATTTACTTGAGTTTATTTTGGCTTCAAATTCTATACTTGGCGTCATAAAATGGATGTTCTTTACAAATGTGAAAATGAACAGGAAAAACGTATTACCTATTATGTAAATTATTACAGGAAAGAATATCAAATGCACTTTACTGCCCTTTGTGACATTGTTATAGTTCTGTTGTAAACTTCTATATAATAGGCCTATGTATTTTTGTTATAGAACTTTCTTTATCGTTATTATCAAGTTAATCCACCTAGAACAGTAGGTGTCCAACAAAAATAATCAAATTTGCAGTTCAAATTCACATTAGATAAGAAATAATAGGAGGCACAGAAAACATTTATGCTTTTTAATGCGCTATAATGTTTTAACCCTTTACTATTAAAAAATACCATTTACTTGAGTTTATTTTGGCTTCAAATTCTATACTTGGCGTCATAAAATGGATGTTCTTTACAAATGTGAAAATGAACAGGAAAAACGTATGACCTATTATGTAAATTATTACAGGAAAGAATATCAAATGCACTTTACTCACTGCTTTTCTTCTGTCACTGTAAACCAAGTGTCCAATCCTGCTTCTGGAGGGCCTCCTTCCTGCGGAGTGTTTAGCTGTAACCTTAATCACACACATCTGAACCCACTAATCATGGTCTTCAGGATTACTAGAAATTTACAGGTTTGTGTGTTTCAGCAGGTTGGAGCTCAGCTTTGCAGGAGCAAGATTGGGCACACTGAAACTTAAAATGTACCTGTACAGATCTGCTACGGGTTATTTTATATACTATTTGTGCAGCAGCAGTTTGTCTTAAATGCTCACAGCACCATATCAGTGTATGTATTGGCAGGAGCAAATTCCTGTATTTGCTTTCCAGCAGCAGCAATAATCTACAACTACAATAAGCAACAGCAGCAGCATAGAAGATCTATTCCACCAAGGCCAAATACATTAACATGGTCATATCCATTATCATGCTAAACTCTTCAGAGAGTTGTCATTAAAGAAATGTAATACTTAAGCATAGGATTGGATCAAGAGATTTTCAAGATAATAAGAAACATAAATTCATGTGCATCCAAACTTTTGATTTGTACACGATGCAGATTTTGAATACTGCATGCACGGAATTCCTGGATTTTCCAAAATGTGCAGTATGCAACAGAACACAGTGCATAGAATAGTTCAATTCAGTATCCCAATTCAAATAGACTTTAAAATTTCAATTGATTTATAATTTAGAATCCAACTACATTGATATGTAATGTTAAATCTATATATAAATTTTTTTTTTGATTCCGGGATGAAATATGACTTAGACATGTTCTTGACAATTTTCCTTCTCTTTGAACACAGAGAACATGGAGAGCTTTGCGCTGTACTTCATGTTGGGTGTGTGTTCAGGTCTTCTGCTGGCCCTTGTCCTCCTCATATTGGGCATCGCCTGCCGACTGCGTTCAAAAACAAAAACACCCTCCTCACCAGACAAGAGACGGCTGAAAGAGTCCAGCGAGGAGGAGGAAGACAAGGAAGAGGACCAAAGTGAGAAAGGAGATGACGAGGACCTAGAAGTCCCAGTGGTCTCCGTGAGTCCCTTGAGTGATCAGACCCAGTTAAATGGAACCATTAAGAGTGTGAACGTGTTTGCTTCAGCGGAGGAGCTGGAGAGAGCCAGGAGACTGGAGGAGAGAGAACGGATCGTCAGGGAGATCTGGAGGAACGGACAGCCAGATATACTCGTCACCGGCACAGGAACACTCGGACGAGTTCATTATCACTAGTAGTGTTTCGTGTGCTGGACGCAGTTGTTTCATGCAGATATGGAATGCCACAGGACCTGTGCAACAGACTTGGGTGTAAAGTTCCTTTAAAATGGGACGGATTGAGTACACTCTTAAAAATATGGCTTCCAAAGGGAGGTTTTTACATCAATGCCATCAAAGAACCATTTTGTATTTCCCAAAGAACACTTTCAGAGATTAATTTTTGCTTAGTGTGAAGAACATGAATGTTAAAGGTTTTTCACTGAACCACTGATGCCAATAAAGAAGCTTTATTTTTAAGAGAGGGCCTACATTTAATCCCCATAATTCTGTTTTGAAGTCGTTTTCACAAGCCCTTGCTTGTCTTCTAAATGATCAAGTTTTGATGGATCCATTTTTTCTCTTTTGCATTTTTTTATATATAAACACATTTTAGCACTTAATGTTTGTGTATATATATTGTATGTATTTTTAAATAAAAATAAAACCAAAGATTTTTTCTGACACGCATTCACTATAAATGAGAAAGTAGCATTCATGTCATGAAGACGTCCCAATGGCCCGTTCACACTATAACGATAACTATCATAGCGGCCGAACCAAACGCACGGTAACGTTGGTTTTGTTTTTTTGTTTGTTTGTTTTTTTAATATGCGCACGGTGCAGTTATGTCGCCTGCAGCTTTAAAACAAATGTGTAGTTTTGCGTATTTTTTACGAATTTGGAGTCCCCTTTACTATATACACTTAAGTGGAATACACTGTCGTAATTACTGTGGACCCGTGCGTGCATTTGTTCCTGCCGTAAAGCAGTCCGCCCTTTCGCGGAATTTCGTACCCGCTCGCAGACATAACTACTCTCAGAATAAAAGACGTTTCGTAGGAGCGCGAGAAAGAAACAGAAGCCACTTATTGTAAGTCAGTGTTCAATCAGAGTGATAACCGCGTTAAAAATAAATAAAGTGTGGATTCTGATCTGATTGGCTATCAATGTTTTTATTGTTTTATTAGCAGGGGATTCATTTTGATTCCAAATCAAAAAGTGATTCCAAATCATTGCCCTTTGTGACATTGTTATAGTTCTGTTGTAAAAAGTAAATAACACAACTGTTGTCTATGTTTTAATTTACACAATAAACCTGAACAGTAAACCAAATTTTCATTTGATTGCATTAAAAAAAAAATTTAATTGTTGAAGTTGTTTGCATTTATTTAATTTCCACCATTTTGATAAATTTGTATTTAATCATGAAACGAATCCAGAAGAATGAAAAATTCAGAGAGAAAAAAAAACCATAGGGCATTATTATTATTGCTAGAATTTAAAAAAAAGATTAAATAACTTAAATAAATCAAATGTTTTATGAATTAAATTGGTAAGACATGCTTTTTGATTAAAACTTAAACCATTAAAACAGAATTTGTGGGAAAAGAAATGGATTTCATAGGGCCCTAAACCCCAATGAGCTGCATACCTAGATTTCTTTGTATGCTTGTAAATTTTGGCTTAGCATTTAGTACATTACTAAGCTAAAATAAATAAGCCTACACTGAAATGTTGTGTAGGCAGCTTCAGAATCAACTGAGGTCTCTCAATGATCAAATGAAACTCATCAATGATCAACAAGTTCTATCAATGTCACAGAGAACGGCAAGATACTTACAAATCCCCGATCGTAACCCCCATGACCTCTGTCATATCCTCCTCGGTCGTATCCTCCTCTGCCCCTCTCATAACCCCTGTCCATGTGGCCCTCATAGTCCCGGGGGCCGCGATCCATGGGTCCCGGATACTCCCTTGACCCCAGACGGGCCTTGTTAAAACCCCCTCCTCCCTCCATGTGCTCCTCCGGATGGTACTCTTTCACTCTGTACTGACGAGGGGAGGGAGAGGAGGAGGAGGAAGAAGAGGAGGAGGGAGAGCGTTCTCGCTTCTTTTTACTTTTCCTTTAGAATAAATGAGAAAGTTAAAAATCCTCTGATCGGTGACTGGAAAATAATGAGTCTGCAGTTAATGCCTGTTTTGAAATGAATATCTTCTGGTTTGTGAATTTGTGATTACAAGAATTGTGATAATACACCGTCTTAAATATGAGGATATATAATTAGATTTGCATTTCTTGAAGGAAAAAATAAGTGGTAAAGTTAGGTTAAGGTGTTAGGCTGTGCTTTTGTGTAAATTAAATTCTACATCAGAGCCACTTTGCCATCTGTGGGAGCTGTATGAGAAAAAACACACAATGTAACACCATATTTGCACAAACAAAAAAAAACCAAATTGCAATTTAAAGGGGTCATATGATGCGATTTCAAGTTTTCCTTTCTCTTTGGAGTGTTACAAGCTGTTCCTGAATAGATAAGGTCCCTGAAGTTGCAAAGACTAAAGTCTCAAAACCAAAGAGATATTCTTTATCAAAGTTAAGACTCTGCCACACCCCCCTAAAACGGCTCGTAATGATCTTTAAAAAAGCATCATATGACCCCTTTAAAACATATGCAAATAAATGTGATAAAACTACAAATCACAATTCAGTATGCCAAAATGGCAAGATGAAAATTACACTGTGGTCCGTTTGGTTTTGAATAATGAGCTTCAAATTAAGAAAAACCGACCTGCATTTGTACAAAGTTTAAATAAATTAACAGTACACAACACTGAAATTGTCTACAAAATTTCAATAGAGTCTGTATATTTGGCTAAATTAGAATTAGAACATTAGAATCAATAGAATTACAGGAACTTAAATTATACATTTAAAATATAAAGTCAAAAAAAAAATAATACAGTGCTTCCTCCCAAACACTGAACACCCAAGCTCAAAAATAATTACTACTCAAACATTATTCATTATTAAGAATCAAAGAGTCGAACATACTTTGATTTCTTGTTTTTGGAGGATCTGTCAGGGGAGAGTTCATGGCTGGGTGTGCGTGAGCCAGCTGAACTCTTCCCCCCCTCTCGCTTTTTACGGCGCTCAATAGCCAAGCGAAGGTCCAATGAATCGCCCTCATGCTTTTTACCATGATCCTGTAAAGACACAATAATGTCCAAAACAATGAACATATTTTCTTGAATCATTAGTGTAAACAACAAGAATTCCTCAATTTCAGCTTGAACTAGCATGTGATTTCAAATAAATTTAAAGCTTAAAAGGACAGTTCATCCAAAAATGAAATTTAACTAATTTACTCTCCATGTGGTTGTTACAAACCCAAATAACTTACTTTTTTTTTTTTTTTTTTATAAAAGATGAGGCTTAGCAGAATCTCTTTTTAGGAATCTGTTTTTCGAACAATGAAAGGGAAGGTTGACTACTTTCATTGCACAAAAGCACCATGTGGGAGATGTCTGATAAACATCTGTCATTTGCAAAAAAAAAAAAAAAAGGACAGATTTCATTTTTGTGTGAACTAACCCTTTAACATTATTTAATATGAATATATGATTAATTCAGGGTTAACCTAGGCACAAGAAGAAGAGGCTGAGAATATTTGCCTCACACTGAAATACAGCTGAAAAACTATCTATTGGCCATCTTTAGGAATAACCCAAATTCAATCCTCATTTTATTTAGTCACCCTCTATGACTGTACAGTCTTGGCTGATGTTGTCCAAGTTTTAATGAAACCAATGAAATATGTGTGCAAATTTAGAAAGTAATGTGATAGAACATGATATATTGGACACCCACTGAAAACGTGACGGACGTCTATAAACACGCGGAACTTCATGACAAAAATACAAAACAAAAACTGCACAGATTTCATGAGAAAGCAGCATGCTCCATGCTTTCCCAATGCTGATTAGTACTGAGCCTCACTTTTTTGTTTTATAGATACATTTTTGAGGAGATATACTTACTATTGCATTGGTTAGCGGTCCAGTGAAAGGCTTGGACACAGGATCAATTGTCACTTCCTTTTCATTAGCCATTTTGTTTGGGCAAGTATGTACCCACGATTTATCATACGACAAATGCTGGAGGGTGAGAGCGTAACGCTCAATAATACAAGACTGAGATTGGGGTTCTTGTGCATTAGCATTATACACCTCATAGCACATTTCTGCTGTTTCAGCTGGTACACATTTGGGCAGGAATTTCAGATTTGAAAACGCTCTGTCACCTTGTAGCCGCTCTCTTCGAAATCCTCAAACAGGTGAGAGTGCTTCTTAAAAGCACTGGGAGACACATCGATTCGCCTGTGGAAAAACATGCAAAAAAAAAAAATATATATATTAAGAGAGGAACAAGGCATCTAAAACCATAATCCACAAAGCGTTCAGTGATACATGAGTGGAATGCGGACCAGAATACAAATGCACCTACCTGTGGATCTCAGGACTCTTCCTCGGCTTCATCTTTTCCATCTCTGCAGCTTTTCTTTGGTATATTCCAAATCGCTCACTCAGAGTCAACCCAGATGATTGGAAATGTTGAGCTACATTCAGAAGGTAGGGAAAAAAAGTCATTTCTTGCATGCCACCATTTTAAATATTTTTACATATGAAGCCAAATTTTTTGAATTTCACAAAAAAGAGAAAGGTCCTAGGTTTGCACCCTGAGGCACCTCAAAGCACAAAGTGCAAAATTAAAATGAAGGATTACACATAACCACCAGCTTAGTCTGGAATTACCTTTAATATGATGTACTATAGTGACTATATGTTGAGCAAATAACTCTGAAGGGCTTCTGCGAAGCTGAGCAGACTGAATATGCTGGAAGATCGAGTGAAACCCCTCATGATCTTTTTTACCAGGGTGCACAAGATCCCGTGACAAACGTCTTTCTTTAGCTAATGCACCTGATGAGCTGAAGAAAAGCAGTGAGAGTCATAAACACATACCCAAATGTCATATAATTGTTTTTTTAAAAACAGAGCAGTAAATGTGACTTCAAATTCATACCTTTCTCCATCATCAGTGAATGCCTTTATACTGAAATTAAACTGCGGGTCTTTCTTCGCTGAGGATTTAGCTGGGGGTGTGGCCTCTCTTCCAGCTGGAAACAGTGGCCTGCCTCTATTCTCTGATACTCTGGATGGCGATGGAGAGGATGGACTGATCCTGCTCTTCTTCTTTTCTTTCTTCTTGGAGGCCTTCTCTTCTTTTCTAGACGCATGCTTCCGACTGCGATAAAGTTCCTCATCCAGTTCCTCTTCAACATCTTCATCCCATTTCCCAAAACGCTCTTCGGTTAAGTCCCGCATTGTGACAAGAGGTTTGTCCTTATACTTGGATTCTTCCTCTGTCTTCCTGTCTTTCATTTCCTGGCGATACTCCTCTTCTTCTGCATCCAGAAATGGAAGTCCTTTGTCAGTCTTTGAGCCATCATAGCCAGAATCAGATGCGTTGAAAACCGCTCTCAACTTGCTGCCGCTCTTCTCGCTGTCTGCGTCGCCCAAGCTTAAAGTCTCACCCCTGCCATTATCCCTGTCTGATAAGGGCTTTTTCTTTTCTGCCAAAAACCTGAGGTGAACGATCACAAATTAATCAGGTTTTTGTACATCAAAAAGCAGATTGTTTTAGAAAAATGTTTACAATTTCAAACCAGCATAACCTTTAACAGCATGATAAGAAAGGTTACTTACAACAAACAACAGTTAATACATGCGAAAACTTATGGCTCAACTTTTCAGCAATGCAGACACGACTAACCAGGATGATTTTTTTTTCCATACTTACATCATTAAAACTTTATCTCCTAAATTATGGGATTGCAAACAACCTCATAGCACAGGTAAATGCCCATTTGTGACATTTGAGTTTGAAATTGGTTTCCATTATAAGCTCTATTCTTCCAAGGATCTTTGTTGCTGTATAAGGACTAAACACATTTGAGAGAATGATGATTGATTAAAAACTGCCTGGAGGACAAAAGAAAGAGGGAAAACATCCAAAACCGAAAGCAAAAACATACTTTTTGAAAGCAGACGAAATGGAGGCTGATTTGTCTTCGGTCTTCAAGTCTTCCTTTGAGAAGGACCCGAAGTCAGTTGAGCTTGACGTCTTTGCCAGTGGACTTTTACTGGCAGGGCCGATGCTTCGCCACAGTGGACCACCATTGCCAGCACCTCCGGAAATGGACACTTTGATCTCTGACAGACCACCAGAAGATGCAGCTTTGCGTTTGGGGCTGGCATCGTAGTTAGTTAAGCCTTCCCACTTGCTACTGGGTTCCTCTGGGGTGCTTCCTGTAGGCTTGGATGATTCCTTGCTGGTTCCTTTGCTTTCACTTGGTGAACCCCTTTCTTTGCGATCTTTAGAATGGAGTCGTCCAACGGTAGAGTTGCGTCGACGTGGGGATGAGGAACGGGAGGAAGAGCTGGAACGTCTGGAATGCACAGAGGATGATCTATCGGAATGGCGCGAGCGGCTTCGGCTTGCTGATCTTTTCCGTGGCGTGTGGGAACGTGAGCGCCCCCTCCTAGGGCTGTACGAGTGGTCGTACTGCTGCTGCTGCTGCTGCTGCTGGTGGTCTCTATGGCCGTGCCAGTTGTTGGAACGGTAACCATAGTTGCTGCCACCTCTATGATAGTTACCTCGTGGGAAGTAGCCACGCCCTCTGCCCCGGTACTGAAAGGGTCTCCGGTAGCCACGGAAACCACGGTTATACCCACGATTGTTCTGGAAATCTCTGGAAGGATAGTTCCTCTCCCTGCTGTGTGAACGGGATCTTGATCTAGAGCTAAAGGACATGAAGGATGGAAAATCAAAGTACAGAAAGAGGAATACAGGAAGATCAGAGAGAGAGAAAGAGAGAAAGAATGCAGTTATGATTCATGAACACTTGATGGCGCTACAGAATCAATATTCACACAAATGGCACTGTTTTTGTAATGAGCAACTTCTTTCCTTGACAAAGTGTTAAATCACTTCCTGTAAATTTTTGCAACGGATGCTACTCTTACAAGCCCTTTACCACTGACTAAAAGATTATGCCGCCTAAATGTATGCCTTCATCACGATCTTCTGAAATTACATATATGGAAATTTCATTTAAAAGTAACTGCAACTTAAATCCATTACCTAAATCTGGCGATGCATAAAGTTAGACATGTTTAGAGCTTAACTACAGGCGCCATGGTCCAAATTTACCAGACTAAACCACACATTTGCTAACAAGAAAATGTCTTACCGTTTGTGCTTTTTCATTGGAAAACAGGTTAAGAACAAAATTTACTGACAAGCATATCGACATGCTAAGCCACATGTAGTGGAAAGAGGTAGTCACGACAAACAAAATGAAACCGTTCTTAGACTAACGCACACAGGACAAGTATAAAAAAAATTTAAAAAAAAAAAACACAATAAGGGGTGGTCTGTCAGAAAAAAGAGAAAGGCTTAGAGGAGGAGCAACCTTCAGGAAACTATGGTATCTTATTTTAGTGCTATTTGAATATTCATTCACTCTGGGTCAAGGGTACGATAAAGCGCTCAGAAGCAGCTGTTTTTAAACTGAGCTCTGACATTATAGCAGTTTAAAATAACCAGATTTCACATTTTAAAATGCTATTTCTAACTAACAGTTTGTTGCAAAGGAATTGGCTGTAATCTGTTGTATGTGTCTACCTGTAGCGACGCTTTCTGGACCTTGAGCGGGAGCGACTCCTGGAGTGAGATCGTGTGTAGGACCGCGATCTAGACCTGGATCGGGACCGAGAAGCAGAATTTGGGGGCTTGGACATCTTTATATTCACAGTATCTGAAAGGGAAATCACATAAACACAAAGCTGTCACACTCATACAGTAGTGTAGAAATGTGGAGAAAAGTCCCCTAAAAATAAATAAACACAATTAAACCTTTATGACATTAAACCAGACCAAAAAAACAACAGGCCAGCTAAACAGCATGTGATTTACCTGTTTGTCATACGCAAAACAGAGATTTACCAATACTTATTATTTTTATGCTTATTTTTACGTCATCATTTACTCACCCTCCAAATCTGCATGAATTTCTTTCTTCTGTTGAACACAACAAAATATATTTTGACTTCCATTGCATGGTTTAAAAATTTTTTTATTATGGAAGTCAATGGCTACCAGCAACTGTTTGGTTACCAACATTTTTCAAAATATCTTCTTTTGTGTTCAACAGAAGAAATTAATTCATGCAGGGTTGGAACATGAGGGTGAGGGTGAATGATGATAAAATATTCATTTTTGGGTGAACTAACCCTTTAAGTGACCAACAACTGATATGCAGAACTGAGTGACTCTGAATTGCTGTTTTGTTACTGCTTTTTTTGACTAACTGAATATTTCAACAATGAAATAACTGTAAATACAACTGTTGTTATTTATGCCATTATATTTATTAAGGCTGTAATCAATAAAATGTATTAACCCTCATTTTGTGTTCCAGTTTGACCCGGAGAAGATTTTCTTTTTCCTGTAAATGCTAGTTACTGTTATCACACTGGACTAAAACTTATTGATATTGCTCACACTGTGTATAACAACTTCCCCCCAAAATGGATTATTTTTGTACTTTTTGGGATTTTTTCCCCCTACCTTGTTAAACTTGTGGTCAAAATAAGCAGCCTCAATGTGACTTTGCAGTGGTGTAAAACATTTCTTACACAATACAATAAAAGGTAATTAAAAAAATAAAACTGACCATATTTAATTAAATCCTACAGGTTATGTTAATATTTATTTTTATGAGAATCTGTCCTGTTCTTTTAAAATTTAAGAAAAAAATAGGACCGTAATGACACTGTATCAATCTATTATCTAAATTATTGCATTTTTTTTTTGTTTACGTCTTTGTTTTGAGCTTAATCTACTTTTTTAAAAGTATTTTAACATAGTATCTACTATTTATAGGCCTAGCTCACAATGATTACTGTTATCCCTCCAGTAATCTACAGCAGTATTGATCATGGTCACCTGAAACAATTCCTGTTTACGGTAACTGATGCAATTCCAATACATTCTTTGTCTTCAAACATACTTGCTTTCCTACCTGATAAAAATTTATGGTAAGTGGTTTTTTTTTTGTGTTTGTTTTACCTTGACCCACCATGGAAGAATTCTGTGTACCTTGTGGACCAGATAAATCAAACATTAACAGAAAAGTTTTTTTTGTTTGTTTGTTTTACCTTGACCCACTATGGAATAATTCTGTGTACCTTGTGGACCAGATAAATCAAACATTAACAGAAAACAACTCTGAAAGTATGCAGCAGATAACCACAAAAATGAGAACCAAACTGACCCGATGAGCCAGAAAGCAGAGGGTGAAACGGTTTCAGATTCTTAAACATGCAAAACAAACACACTTCCTTATAATATTGTGCAAATTTTGCATAAGTAATTTGCAATAAAAGAATGACGCATTTAGCCACTCTATTTGCAATATATACAACAGACTCTTGTTTTCATTTCTGACCAAAAGAATATATAGGCCTAGCTCACAATGGCTTACACTGGCTGGTTAACTATAACTCTATGAGAGGTTAAAAATCTCCAAGCACTGCTTTTCCAGACTGTTGCATTTATCTAGTAACATGAGACGCCTAGGTTAATTGATATGCAGCATTATTCTGTAGGATAGAGATCAGGGTGTGTCATATAGCATGAAAAAGTCGGATTTGACAGTCAAATCAGGAACAGGAACAACTGCCAAGCAATTTTCACCAAGTCCTTTGGGGTAAGAGACAGTCCAGCCCAACCAGTGCAGCTAGTTTCTAATCTATTCAGGAAATACTATGGAGAAAAAAAAAACATTTGCATTGATCAAATCATCAGGACAGAGGACACTCGCTGGCTGTGTCTCAAAACCTAGTCAGCTGTCTATCTAGACAGCATTTTAGACTCCAAAGATACTAGATGGATAGTTCAATAGCCATTTTACTGGGTTTAGAGACATTGAGACACCCAAAAATGCTGTCTAGGTAGGCAGCAAACCTGCCTACAGGCTCAAACTGCTGACTAGGCATTGTTTTGCTGTCTAGATAGGCAGCTCACTAGATTGAGACATTATGGAAAACAGTTCTATTCTTCAACTCTGTTCAGATGGTAAAATCTCAATGCAAAAGCCAAGAAACAGCCATTTTATGAGACGCATTCAAAAACACTTTCGTTTTCACTTCTTCCATGTTAAGGGTGGAAATAAAGAACGAGTTCAGGAAAATTCAGTCACATTACAATTATAACTTCAATTTGATACGACCATCTACGATCATACACATTTAGGATTGTTTTAAAATTACAATTAAGGATTTTTAATAATAACAAATAATATTTATCAACATCAACGTGTTCAGAATAACATATACAAAACTAGCTGAACAATTATATCGGCATTTACAAGTAAAGCAACCAAAGGACAAATTAAGTCGCCCCATTATGCTACCAAAATACAGAATGTTATCAAAAACGCAATTCAATCGCTGCTGTTAGCCATTATGCTAACGCTAGCCCCATTAGCTCATTTCAAACGACTTAAAACGCACAAAAGCAGAATCAATGGCAACAAAATAACACGGAACAGCATTTTTAGGAGAAATATCAACAGAAAATAGCGTTATAGTGTTAAAATGTGTAAAAAAAAAATAGACTCACATGAGGGGCTAGTCTGATGTGATTAAAGCGAGCTCACTGGCTGAAGCGCTGCGCGCACGCGACGGAAGAATAACCTGTATTATACGCCAAATACTGATCAATATACGTCTGATTTTAAATATACTGATCTATTTCGCACATAGAACCTATACGAGTTCAGTTATGTATGGTTTCTAAGTAATGAAACTGAAAAGTGGCCATTTGGTCTCCTCAGGAAACGCAAGATGCTTCGAAGCAGCTCAGACCCAGAGCTTCCTGATCAACACATGCGCGCGCACACAGACGGTTATACACGCCTCTTTCTGCTATTCTTCCTCTGTTTGCTTTGATAACTGTTCTCTTTTTCTTTTCTTGAATATAAATAAATAAAAACTATGAATGTTGACTTCAAACTTGACATTTGAAGGTTTTTATAGGCCTTATAAATACACTGTTTACCCATTCCTCAGTCCCTTTAGAGTTACTCACATTTGCATACAAATACTATTTTCTCTGTCTATTTTTATTAATAAAAAAAATAGCTGCATGTTAATATAATATATGGCCATTTTTGTTTCTCTGAGCTCTGCTGCAGCATCAACACATGGTAAAACAGACTCCATTTCAAACACCTGTTGAAAGCTTCTCAGAGTGACAGCTGTAATCACAGGCCACAGGGCCAGTTCAGAGAAATCTGCCAAACACCAGGCACTATTTCACAGAGAGGAAACACTACAGGGAGTCAGCCTGCATGAGCCAATCTCTCTCTCAGATATCTGCAAAAATACTATTGTTACAGATGAGTGTTTCTGTGAGTCAGGACTTACTGGCCTTTTAAGTGTTCTTAAAATAGCTGTTTTTTTTAGCAAATGTATGTGATCATACACACACACACACATAAATTATTACTTATTCCGCAACACGTGTTTCCTGAGTCTGTTGTTCCAGGAAGTAGTTACGTGCTAATCTCACTTTCTCACATTTGTGAAGAAATAAGTAATAATTGAGAAACACAACTAAGGTTATTCTTACTATAGTCTTGGTGCACATGGTGTTACATTATATGCCATTGACAATGACTTCCAATAAGGTAATCCTATAAAAAAAATGTAGAGATAAACATTCTTGTCTGGGTGGTATTAGGACAGCTGGCAGCTGCTGTCACAAAAATAGTCATCTGCAACAAGGCCAGAGAAAGTTTCTGGTGCAGATCTGCAATGTGTACATAACAACTAAATCATCAATCATATATTTTTTAATATATATATGTATATATATATATATATATATATATGTGTGATTCTACACTCTAAAAAATGCTGGGTTAAATACAACCCAGTGCTGGGTAAAATAGGGACAAACCCAGCAATTGGGTTGTTTTGACCCAGTGGTTGGGTTATTACCCAGAAGGTTGGGTTAAACATTTCACCCAACCGCTGGGTCAAAACAACCCAGTTGCTGGGTTTGTCCCTATTTTACCCAGCACTGGGTTGTATTTAACCCAGCATTTTTTAGAGTGTAAATCTGAACTATCCTAAAATGGCTGTTGCCAGCAATCTATCTCCTGGGTTAAATATAACCCAGCGCTGGGTTAAAAGGGGACAAACCCAGCTATTGGGTTGTTTTGACCCAGCGGTTGGGTTGTTTTGAGAGTGTATGTAAGATACAGGAAATGATGATACCTCCCCTCACTGATAAGATCTGAAGCACTGAAAAGTCTGTGTGCTCTCTCTGAGAAAATATTTTAATCTAAAAATGTCTTATACCAACAGTTATTTTGAAGAACTTCAACACTGTTACCACAATATCAAAAGGAAAACAAAATTTATTACTGATCACAAATTGGGTTATTTATATGTATTTTAATCATGATTTCATTAGTGCCATGTGCTCTTTGCATTTACGGTAGCAAGTGGAGTTTTTGGCAAAAATAAAATAAAATTGTCAATTCTGTTACCGTCAAACTCTGCTACCAAGGTAGAATAACAATGCTGACAATAGTGTAACAGAATTGACAGTCTACCGGATAATTCTGTCAATTCTGTTACTTTACAATTCTGTTACTTAAAGGGTCAACTCTGTTTATGAACTATTTTCACACAAAAAAAACTATACAATTGTTGAGATATGATGCACCCTTATTATATTTGAACAACATTTCTCTTTTTTGTACTGGATATTGTATACAATACATTTTCATATGAAAAATATTTGCTCCAAGTGGACAATTCTGTGAAGACATAGGTATTTTTTTTATTTTTAAGGTATGCATAGGTGAAATATTATCTGTTGGACTGTTTTTCTAATATTACAAGAAGGATTTTTCCTTTTATGATTTATTGTTATTTCTACACATTGCCTAATTTGTCCGTAACAGAGTTGACAAACAATACCATAAAGATATCTGTTTTTTTTATCAAAAGTACAAAAAGGGAGTAACTTGTGTTTGGCAAGCACTGAATTATTAAAATTGAATATGTTTTCAATAAGAAACTGGAAAGAATTTCTGTTAGTGACGTTTTTTTCTCTTAACTTTATGAAATGCCAAATGTATCTCCAATTATAGAATCACCCATATATCGCAAACACATCAAAACTAACTAAATCATACAAATATTTAAAAGTTCCGTAATATTATCAGCATGTATCATATTCGAAATTGCACACTTCAAGCGGAATGAAAGATCGCTGCACAGCACAGCTCTTGCGATCCTGTCTGTCACATTAGCAAACGGTTTACATACATTGAAAACCACAAGTAAATATCTATATGTGCACCACAACCAAATTTAGAGTGAGTCCATGGGTTAATTTCAATAGAATAACAATGTTCTGCCTTCTTCGTCTTGTGGTTTTCTGTTAAGTTAAGAACTATTTTTCCATCCTAAAATCAAGGGTGTGCTGTTTCTTTCTCCCCGCGCTTTGCTCAGTAGCTGTACATATCTTAAAGCCATATTCTCTTTTCTGGTTTTTGTTTTGCATGCATTTGGTCTCGATACCGATGAAAGTGGCATGTTTGACACTGAAGGTTTGAGTACAGCAGGGTGTTAACTTTGTCCATTTCTAGGCCTTTGCAGCGATCGTGATGCCACAAGTGTGCAAAAGTAGTTCCACCTCAAAACTGATCACATTAAATTACTCTCAAACCAATTCTGAAACTTTCACAGGCGTGATATGATAAATACAGAAAAAAGAGAAGCCTTACCTCTGGCGTTCAGTAGTAGAGAGAATACAAGAGAAAGCAAAAGTAAATTCAGCCTATCAGCAATGAACAAAGAACTTCCTGTATTTGAGTGACAGAGCTACATGCTAAGTCATGTCTTGGCTAAATGAATGATACTTTTAGCTTATGTGCAGATGCATTTAGCTGGCTGTATGAAGACAACTTCTGCCACTTCAGAATAGATCTGCTCTATCCCTACCAGTCATTACTGAAAACTCATTTCTTTTTACTGGTTTTTAATGTTCACTACATGTTGTAAAATATTGCTAACATTTTATGCATGCCTTCTATCTGTTTTTCTTTAGCAATGCTTTACATGCATTGTAAAGCACATTTGTCAGCTGTTGCTGTATAAATGGTGCTATATAAATAAGCTTTGACATTGACTTTGACATAATCCTAATACAGCAACCATGTAAAGTGTTTATAATTGGTTTGTCCATAACAATATTACTAAAACTTATCGCTGTCACCATGCTCTTATTCAACCATGTACCTCACAATCAGAGGAATTAGCATAAATATGTTGTCTATGTAGAACAGTATTGTTAAATAAACTATTAAAATGTATCCAGTTATTGAAAAAAGATGAAATAAATAGAAATAAAATAAGTTTAAGTACTAAATGTGCTAAAGACTGAAATAAAAGCAAATGATTGCTAAACCAGAATATTAAAACCAAAAATATAAAATCACAAAAACATATAACAACATTTCTAAAACTTAAACTAAAGTTCAAATGAAAACTAAATATTAAAATAACACTTATACTGATGGAAAAACTGCATACAGTTGCAGGGAACAAATCTGGTCATTAAATCTGATCGACCTTCAACTACGTCAAACATTCAACAAAATAAATGTTGTCTTTAATGAACACACTGTGTAAACATTAAGTGCAAATGTGAAAAAGGTCAGTGAATCCTTTCTTAAAGTTGTAAAGATCCTTAAATTAAATTATATAAAATATAGTCTATATTATATGTATTACATATATAAAATATGTACAATCTCTTTTTTGTTATGAATAACAAATGAAAGAATTTGCTGTTTTTTTAGTAAAGTTTTCAATAATGTTTCATTGTTCTATACTCCAAAGTTTTGTCCAGTAAGTTCTCTCATGCTTGGATAACATTATTACTATCTAAGACGTCATAAAAATACAATCCACAATAGTAACCAGCCAAAAGAATGCAGACAGAGTCTCGATGTATTCTAGAAGCTCTAAACATCCTAAAACCCAAAGAAAGAGCTGCTTTGGAAACGTTATATATACTGTATCGCTCGTTTCTGGAAATAATATTTTACGGTGCAGCTGCAAGCAGGTATATAAAGCCATTAAACAAAGCAACACAGTGTGAAGCAAATATGTGGCTGATGGAAACATGCTGCAAGACCACATTTAAATAGAGAGGTTGCAAATAAATGCAGCACACACACATTTATCCACACATACTCACTTATCTACAGCTACCAAAACAGCCCCACAACAAACAACCAGTACATTCTCAGTTGTCTTCACACCTTGCAATGACTCATGAGAAACTGTCCGGTGAGGCTTTATATTGTCCGTCCTGTGCACCAAGGGTTCATGACACAGCATACTATTGAACAGGCATTTAAAGGTCAAAGGTTAGAGACAAATACGCACTTTGGATCCAGAGCTCTGTCAGCCATCTTGGCCAATTCAGACTTTGCCATGCAAAATTGTGTTGTGAGATTATATTAAAACCAGTGTTATTTTAGTACCATGTATATATTTAGCATATTAATGTTTTGAATTGCCTTTTATTTGTATATTTTCAGTTTTCATTTTAGTTTATTTTGTTGTGCTTATTATAGTTTTCATTAGTTTCTTTTTTATTTAACTTTAATTTTAGTTGATTTCAACTTTAGTTTGAGTCATTTTGGTACTTCACCTTAAACTTATTTGATTTCAGGTGCCATAAATTAGATTTTTTCACTATGCTCAAATTTGACAAGATACCAAAGTCTTCTATCAAAAATTCAGAGATTTCAGTATGAACTCAAAAATTCAAGAGCAAAGCACTATTTGTGTAAGTGTTTATTTCCCCAATA